GAGGGGGGGAGGGGGGAGTAGCCTCAGTTATCTTTACAGTTTAAACTCCCCACAAACGAGTCTCACTTGGGATAAAAACTGAGAAATCTTTTTTTCTTTGGGTCCAAAGACGTTCTACACAGTCGGAGGCAGCGCACCGACCGTGTCGGCCACCAGGAGGACGGAGCGTGGACCAGGAGAACAGAACGTTCCGGCAGCAGCCGACCGTCTGTGGGAGGACGGAGTCGGACTTTTATTCGTCCAGGTTTCCCGGGGGAAGAAGAAGAAGAAGAAGAACAACAACGCGTTCCTTGTCTCCGTGTGTGACGGCGATAACGAAGCAGATGGAGGCGGTAACACACGTTAGTACCACAGACACGGGGGGGGGGGGGGGGGGGGGGAGGTGTGGGGGAGCTGTAAACCTTATATTAGACCAACAGTTCTCCACACAGATGTTCTCTCTCCTGCAGGTGTCTGACTGTAATGACTACAACGTTCCACCAGGTGTGTGTGTGTGTGTGTGTGTCATCACATTCTTAACTCGCCAGTTCAACGCCTCAGAAAAGACCACGTCAAAACAAGAAGACGGAACAGAAGACACCGTGGACCTCCACCCTGTGTCTCACCCCAAAGGTCACGTCATTTCATCATTTTTCTTTCAGGGTTTTTATAAAAACCTTAAGGTTTTTATTCAACATGACAAAATAAAAAAAAGTCTGAAAATCTCTCACTCTCTGAGTCGTACCTGCTGAGAAAAAGGAAAGAAAGAAAAACTGGGGCGAAGAAAAAAAAAACGTCTTTGTCAAATCTGGGTTTCAAATTCAAATTCAGGTTCAGCTAACCAAAGCTAAAGGCTAACAGCTAAATACTGACTGAGCCAAAAAGTGAAGTTATTGAAAAATACAGGTAACGTTAACAAAAATCACTAACGCGGCTAGAATGATGTCAACAGTTTGGAAACAGTTCTACAGTAAGGTTAGCTCACCAACGACCTGAATCAAGCTAGCCCCGAAAATTGAAAACATTTAGCTATAGTGCAAGTTAGTTAAACCGTCCTAAACTAGCTAACACTCCTCTGGCGGAGAACAACTAAAAGTTAGCCCAGAAATACCTTTAGCTTAGCTAAAGCCAATGACAGAGGGCTAACCTTTACTCAAGTCGTAGCTAAAGGTTAGCCCAATGGTAACTCCTACATACTGTGTAGTGTAAACCATGGCCTCATTGAACAGCTGTTTCAGTGGTGATTATGCTAACAGACGCTAAAACTATAAAAACCATCCTGTGAACAGAGAATCGACCTAGCATTTCTCACACCTGTAAAAAAAAAACAAACAAAACAAACAAAACAAACATGGAAAAACATTTGGACGAAAATAAAAATCCATGACAAATAGAACCACTAAGTTTAGAACCTGAGAGAACGGGAACATCACAGCAGGAGACGGTCCTGATGAGCAGGGAAAACAAAGAACAAGGTGGAGGAGGGGGGGGGGCGCCTCAGCTGGGCCTGGCAGAACCCGGGCTTCAACTGGATTAACAACAAAAGCTCAGCTCAATAACTAATAGGCCTCCTCTTCCTCGCTCCTTTTTCTCCCTCGCTGTCTTCCTCCTCCTCCTCCGAGGAGATAATGCCGAACACTTTCATGCCTGTGCTGAATTAAACATCGACAGCTGAGGCGGAGACTGAGGGAACGCCATGGAGACGAGAAAGAAAGGGAGAAAGAAAGGAGGACGATCAACCTCCGGCGCCGGTCCCTGGAGCTGGACTCAACGTTTCTCTATCGTTAAGAAGACGTGTCACCGTCAGACCAAACAGCAGCGCTGCCTGTTCCACAGTAATTGGCCCAGTTGGAAAAAAGGGACTGTCAACTGTGGTGGAGCCAGTGTGGCCAATCAGGATGGG